CACACACACACACACACACACACACACACACACACACACACACACACACACACACACACACACACACACTCTCCTACACTATGGCCAATTTAGGTCATCAGTTCCCCTATAGCGCATGTGTTTGGACTGTGGGAGAAACCGGAGCACCCGGAGGAAACCCACGCCAACACGGGGAGAACATGCAAACTCCACACAGAAACGCCAACTGACCCAGCCGAGACTCAAACCAGTAATCTTCTTGCTGTGAGGCCACAGTGCTAACCACTGAGCCACAGTGTCGCTCCTCCAGGCAGCTAATAAACAAAAAAAGTAACTAAACAAAACCATAAGTGCAGTAATTAAATAATAAATCTTTGTCTTGTTTTCACAGGGTGCCAGAGTTTGTGAAGGAGAAGCGTTTCGGGAACTGGCTGAGGGACGCCAGGGACTGGGCGGTGTCCCGCAACCGCTACTGGGGCACACCTATCCCTCTGTGGGTCAGTGACGACTTCGAGGAGGTCAGTGGAGCATCCAGGGATGAATGATCGATGCTTTTTTACTAGGGTTGCACAATATATCGGAAAATTCCCATTATCAAGATGCTTGTATATGCAACATCCATATAGCAAAATATGTAATAATAATAATAATAATAAGAGCAGAAACACTGTGATTGACATTCTCACTTTGTACGTGTCATCAGTGGTTAAAAGCCCCGCCCACTAGTGCCCATCTCTCCATCATTAGCATCTCCAGCAGCCCTGAGGTAGAAGCAGCCGTCTGTCCATCAGCCATTAGTGTTTGAGCTGCTGGAGATAATGTCAGCATAGACTCAGAGCATTATAGATGTGGAGTTTTAGATGAACAGCGACATAGACTGACAGAAGCATGAAGCACACACTCACACTGAAGCACACATGCACATCCACCTGACCAGCATTGACGACGTTTCAATCTGCCACTATGCTGACACATGGGCATTTGTAGCTCCGCCCTCACAAGAGCACAATCTCATTTGCATTTAAAGCGGCAGTCACCAGTACACCGCAGTTAGGATCAAGCCTGAAAGGGGCAGTTTCAGAGAGCTATTAAATATTATCTGTGTGCTCTTTTGAGCTGAAACTTCACACACTCTTATTTTACATCTTGTACACAGGGGCAGAATAGCTCCCCTTTAAATTGTGCTGATGGTCTTTAAGTGCTCTTGTTAGTGTGTGTCTCTTAAAAGCTGAACTTGTGTAAAGTCAGAATGAGGTTGTTGGCGTCTTTGCCTGCCGAAAGGAAAGAAGGACAGCGACCTGCTTCCTGAAAATAGCATAACGTGTGTTTCCCAGAGCGCCGCGTCCCCGAGCGTGCACACACACACACACACACACACACTATGCTTTCCTGCTCACTATCTGGGCCACCATACCTGAGAATGGGGACAGCGTCCGGCAGGGCTGCACCATATTGGGAATATCTAACATTACGATATTTTCTTATTTTGTGATATGCAGCGGGGAAAAATAAATATTGTCTTGGGAATAATATTTCTAAAGGAGCTGCTGACATGGAATTGCAGCAGATTTTGGTAAAAACGTGTTTAATACTTATATAAAAGGCTTTTTTGGTGCTGTCGGTTTAAAGACGCCTCTTATATGGAGAATGAAGCCTCGGGCATTGCTCAGGTGTGAGGATCGATCAGTGTTAGCTTCTCAGAATATACTGTCGCTAGCTCAATCAGTCATGTTAGCTAATAAAATCAGGAGTATCGTGTCTTTTTAGCTTCAGATGTCTATCGAAATGAACTTCCACCTTAAATAAGGGTGTTATTAGCCTAAATAAGGATGTAAAAGTAATTATAAAAGTAATCAACAGCTGTAAATGTTGTGTGTCTTCAGAAGTGTGTGTTCTGTGTGTGTTCAGGTGGTGTGTGTGGGATCCATGGCGGAGCTGGAGGAGCTGACGGGAATTAAAGTCACTGATCTCCACCGAGAAAGGTGAACACACACACACACATTTACACACACTCATGTACAAATAAATACACACACACTCATGCACAGACAAATACACTCACACACTCATGCACAACCAAATACACACACACACTCATACATTCACGTACATACTCAGACAGACAGACAGATAGACAGACTCATACACGCACACACACACACACACACACACATTTATACACACCCTCATGCACAAATAAATACACACACACTCATGCACAACCAAATACACACACACACACTCATACATTCACGTACACACACAGACAGACAGACAGACACATACACAAACTCATACACACACACACAAACACACATTTATACACACACTCATGCACAAATAAATACACACACACTCATGCACAGACAAATACACTCACACACTCATGCACAACCAAATACACACACACACACACACACACACACACACACACACACACACACACACACACACACACACACTCATACATTCAGGTACACACACAGACAGACAGACAGACACATACACAAACTCATACACACACACACACACACACACACACACACACACACATACACAAACACACATTTATACACACACTCATGCACAAATAAATACACACACACTCATGCACAGACAAATACACTCACACACTCATGCACAACCAAATACACACACACACACACACACACACACACACACACACACACACACACACACACTCATACATTCAGGTACACACACAGACAGACAGACAGACACATACACAAACTCATACACACACACACACACACACACACACACACTCATACATTCATGTACACACTCAGACAGACAGACAGATAGACAGACACATACACAGACACATACACAAACTCATACACGCGCACACACACACACATTTATACACACACTCATGCACAAATAAATACACACACACTCATGCACAGACAAATACACTCACACACTCATGCACAACCAAATACACACACGCACACACACTCATACATTCACGTACACACACAGACAGACAGACAGACACATACACAAACTCATACACACACACACACACACACACACACAAACTTGTACACTCAAACACACACATACAGACGCTCACACGCACTCACACACGCACTCATACTGACACACACTAACAGACTCTCACACTCACTCACACACAAACTCATTCTGACACACTCAAACAGACACACACAAAAACTCACACACGCACTTATACACACACTCATGCACAGATTTATACTGACACACACTCTCAAACAGACATTCAGACACTATTCAAACAGACAGACAGATACACAAACAGACACACACACTTTCAAACAGACACATACACACAAACACACTAACAAACTTTCACACACACTCATACTCATACTCATACTGACACACACACACAAACAGACAGACAGACACACACACTTTCAAACAGACAGTCACTCACACACTTAAACAAACACACTAACAAACATTCTGACACACACCTGGCCCTCCTCGCCTGATCATGTGTGTGTGTATATATTTGTGTGCAGCATTGACGGCCTCACCATCCCCTCTCGCTGTGGGAAAGGGCAGCTCCGGCGGGTTTCGGAGGTGTTCGACTGCTGGTTCGAGAGCGGCAGTATGCCCTACGCTCAGGTGCACTACCCGTTTGAGAACAGGCGCGAGTTCGAAGACGCATTCCCTGCAGACTTCATCGCAGAGGGCATCGACCAGACCAGAGGATGGTGAGAAACAATACAACAACAACAATAATATTAGTAATAGATTAAAACGGAGTCCGGTTTTGATTCGGTTTATTTAATTTTCCGTTGAAGCCTTATTAAAATAATTTAAAAAACGCTATTAAAGATTCTCTTTAGGGTTGTATTGGAACATTGAAAGCAAATAAGATATATATTGTAGATAAATGTCATCATGAACGGCTGAATAATGCATGCGTTTACTGCCAAACATAAGGCTTTTATCTGTAAACAGTTGTTGACTATCAGCTCCAGACGGCAGTATCTTCCTCACACACTTCGTTTATTATTCCCACACATTCTGATAGAGCAAACATCTCCGCTTTTAAATCAATTATTTATTGTGCTTATTGACAATAAACCACATCAGGCTGCAGCGTCGTCAGATCATGTGCTAAACATGTGTACAGAATAAATGCAGAAACACTATCAGCAAGCAGATTGGAAACAATAATGCAGGTTTGAGGTCTATAATAAAGGTTATTTATAGGGATTACTTGTTGTGTTGTTGTGAATCTTGTTCAGTGTTGTGTGGGGATTTTTAATGCATAGTTATGTTTAATTTAGGGATGCTTCTAACTTGACACAGCTGCTGTGTTAATGATAAGTCTATTGCTTTAGAAAATGATTGAGAGTTGTTAATCTTTATTTGTTGAAGGAATGTGTTTATTCTGAAGTTGAGTACTAGTTGCAGAGCTGTGGGAAATATTATCCATTTATCTTTTTAACCTGAACCTAAAATGATCATAAATAAATTCAGGAAAGACTAGCCTAGAGTGCCGTCTGCTGCTAAACACTAAGCTCAGAATGGATTCAAGAGAGAATAGCCATGCATTGTGTACATTTCAGAATTGATGCATAATTGATTTCTCAAATGATTTATCACCACAGTCGAATGTTTTCAGTTTTGTAATAGATTTAAGGTCGTAGATTTGTCTCTTAACTCTTGTCTTTGTGTGTTGTTTTACTGCAGGTTCTACACGTTACTCGTGCTCTCGACGGCTCTGTTTGGGAAACCGCCATTCAAGAACGTGATCGTCAACGGTTTGGTTTTGGCCAGGTAAATCGTTCTGCTGATGATCAGGTTTTTTTTCTGGTAAAAAAGTTGATAATAACAGAGTGAGTGTTGACATAATAGTATTGAGGTAACAGAGTAACAGTTGAGGTAACAAAGTAACAAAGGGGAAAGTAACAGGGTTGAAGTAGTTGAAGTTTACAGAGTAACGGAGATAACGTTATTAAGATGACATTAACAAAGCAGCAGAGTTGAAGTTATTTTAGAGTAATTGAGATGACGGTAACAGAATAACAGAGATAACGTTAACTGAGATGATGATATCTGAGATGAAGGTAACAGAAAAACAGAGATGACGGTAACTGAGATAACGGTAACAGAGTTGAAGATAGAGTAACTGAGATGATGGTAACAGTTGAAGTTAACAGAGTAACTGAAATGATGGAAACAAAGTAAAAGTTGAAGATAAAGTAACTGTGATGACGGTAACAGAGTAACTGAGATGACGGTAGAGTAACTGTGATAACGGTAACAGAGTTGAAGATAGAGTAACTGTGATGACGGTAACAGAGTAACTGAGATGACGGTAGAGTAACTGTGATAACGGTAACAGAGTTGAAGATAGAGTAACTGTGATGACGGTAACAGAGTTGAAGATAGAGTAACTGTGATGACGGTAACACAGTAACTGAGATTACGGTAGAGTAACTGTGATGACGGTAGAGTAACTGTGATGACGGTAACGGAGTTGAAGATAGAGTAACTGTGATAACGGTAACAGAGTTGAAGATAGAGTAACTGTGACGATGGTAACGGAGTTGAAGATAGAGTAACTGTGATGACGGTAACAGAGTTACTGAGATGACGGTAGAGTAACTGTGATGACGGTAACAGAGTTACTGAGATGACGGTAGAGTAACTGTGATGACGGTAACAGAGTTGACGGTAGAGTAACTGTGATGACGGTAACAGAGTTGACGGTAGAGTAACTGTGATGACGGTAACAGAGTTGAAGAAAGAGTAACTGTGATAACGGTAACAGTTGACGATAGAGTAACTGTGATGACGGTAACAGAGTAACTGAGATGACGGTAGAGTAATTGTGATGACGGTAACAGAGTTGAAGATGGAGTAACTGTGATGACGGTAACAGAGTTGACGGTAGAGTAACTGTGATGACGGTAACAGAGTTGACGGTAGAGTAACTGTGATGACGGTAACAGAGCAACAGAGTTGACGATAGAGTAACTGTGATGACGGTAACAGAGTTGAAGATAGAGTAAC